TTTATCTCATAAGTAATGTTATCGTAAGGCATTTATCAATCTAATTATTATGAATATTAAATGTATTGTAATTTTTATGTAGGTAATTATCCTACATCCGATTTATCTAATTTAATCCTATCGTATCCTATCGTATCCTATCCTATCCTATCCTATCCTATCCTATCCTTTTTTCTATCTATTCATCTATCTATCTATCTATCTACCTATCTATCTATCCTATCTTTCTATCTTTCTTCCTTTTTTGATCAATCTATATCTATTTTTTTTGTATTTCTTTATCGTTTGATCCGTATCAATCTTAATCTCCCGCTCTTTCCATCCCATCATCATCCACTTCCGCCTTCGCCAGTTCATCGGCTTCTCCTCCTAACAATCGGAAGGCTTGACACGTGGGTTTATCTGGTCCTTCAATTTTCCAACATCGATGGACTTCAAAAAAAATCGGAATGCACCGTGCAGGTACTGCATGTGTATCTATGAGAGCGGTCCTGGGTCCCCGGAAAATGATGGGCTGCCTTTCGCCGTGGCATTGTTTTCCTGGTCCACACGCATGCTGTCCTACAGTGAGCCCTCGCTGTACCAGAAGACCAGGGCTTTGAAACTTGATTCACAGTGTTTTTAAGAGAAAATAGGCCACGCAGAAGCCACGAAAGCTTGTTACTGAGAGATAATGGTGTTTGGGGGGTCCCCAACTTAGAGACGATGTGAAACTATTCAGATGATTGGCTGCGCTTGTCGACATGGCGCTTCGGGTAATTTGGTGGAGAGAACAAGGGCGCTTGAGTTTGTGAAGGTTTCAAACATCCCCGAAGGATTCTTAAATGCAGGGTCAACTTTGGATGCTGTCATATAGACAGGTCGTGACAGGTCATAGTTTTTCATGGATCACTGTGAACCAATGGACCAAGGTACTGGTCCATTGCTGGGCTGCAGCGCATTCTGTGGGCCATTGGGCATGATGTTGGTCCTGTTGCCGCCAAGTGGATTGAGGCGAGCAATGACGGCAAGAGACCCCAGTGGGTGTAGGAAGTCAATGTAGAAGATACAAGCAGCGACGGAAAGAGTAAGAGACCAGGTTTGACGGTTAGACATCAGAATTGCAGCAGGAACTTGTTTTTGTCCAGGGATCAGCTGCCAGGAAAAACGCGAGTTGTGGGAGGGTCAGAAGGGGCGCCGTCTCAGTAGCTCAGTGGCCACCGACAAGCAAGCGGTCGCGGCCTATTCGTCACCTGAGCTGGTTGGGGGTGCGGCCCCCCGAAAATAGACCAGAGTATTGCATGTCAGTGTTTTGCCATCATTTTCCCATAACAAACGCAATAAGATAAGATACATCCCATAGATTTTTGGACACACCCAAATCATTTGGTTGATTTCTACATCGTAATAATATCAAATATGGCCAATGGTGGGGAGAAATTTAGATCATGGATAATTTTCCATAACACTTTTTTGGGAGGAAACGCGTTTCTAGATGTGGCGTCAGTACTTGTGGGAAACTACTTCTAATGCATTCCTGGACTTTTTGTTTTGCAGTGCAATGTTTCTGTAAACAATTATTGGCAACAGTAGGGTGTTTGTGTTTGAGTGCTTCCCAACATTTGCATTTTCTCCAAATGATAGCTTTAATTTTGCGGAAGATTCCTCCAGTGCCGGGCCCGTTTTTCTTTTTTGTCAGCTTTTTTGTCAGCTCCGTCCGTGGATCTCCAGTGGGATTTTTGTGGATCTCCGTCTGAGGTTTGAGTTGGAGTTACCCACCTATTTGTCTCAAGCGGGTGCATCAGAAGGTTGGGCCACAGATATCTTGACCAGAGAGAAGGTCAACGTCATGGAATCCTCTGTGCCGTTGCTTGGATGAAACACCCTGGAGCCACCGGAAAACCAGGCCTTTGAAAGGCGATCATGGCAGGAAACTTCAAGGATTTCTATAGACAGAACGTCAAAGAACTAAATAACTGGAGCTGAATTTGACGTAAACCTCAGGGGCAGAAGACACTTGGGGTCATGATTCCTTAGGTAGGGGTCGTAGACTATCAGAGTGGATCTTTACTCCGCTGGGAACGTGGGTAGCACAACAGTTTAGATCGTTTACTACTAAAAAAAACACCATTTTTCAACGATCTCAGGAGGGCCAAGCCAGCACTAAGAAATTCATAGAAATTCGACTTTACATGAATATTTCAATCCCAACCCCAAAAGAGTGATCTCTAAACCAACCCCAAAAAAACTAAATCTGGGTATATGACATTCCACATGGCATCCACCAAGATTGACGATGAAATTTGATGGACGTCTTGACTCCCGGCGCCATCAGCTTGTGGACAAGGTGTGTTTCCCGGGCTGGACATTGGGACAGAGTCATACCACCATTAACAGGGAATCATCATAGCCAATTTCAGGATTCCCATTATGGGAACGACCGTAACCCCCATATTATGCCAGCAACACCATGGGATTATAATCATACATCATTGTAGCATAGGGATACATAAGGGAGGGCTACATTGCTACATTTTTTAAAGAACGACGTAAATATGTATAAGTACATATGTAAATATGTTATATATATATACATGTATATACGTATGTTGGTAAATATGTATAAATGTATATATGATGTATATTTGTAAATATGCATATATGTATTTGTATATATTTACATGCATACACGGGTGTATGTATACTTGTATTCAAGTAATATATTTTTAGTTACATATATATATATATATATTCACAAAATGTGTATATATGTACACATGTATATTCGCATACTTGTATAAATATGTATGTATTTGTTTTTAAATATAAAATGTACATATGTATATTTGTAGATATGTAAAAATGTACATATGTAAATATGTATTGTGTAAATGTGTATTTCTACGCATATGTACATATGTACATGTGCGTAAATGTATATATTTTTATATGTATATAAATATGTAAATATAAATGTATACATTATACATTGTATATACACGTAAAAATGCAATTATGTATATATACATATGTATGTATGTATATATGTAAACATGTAAATACGTATATATATATATATATATATATATGTAAATACGTACATACGTAAATGTGCATATACACACATATATATATATGTATATAAATATGTATATTTGTAAATATTTGTGTATGTATATATGTGTATACATATATATATATATATACACATTCCCATTTTAGGAGGGGCAAACAACATTAAACATTTTTTTTGGTATGGTTTCCAGCATTTCTTTTTTGGTTTCATTTTTGCATCAAACCGCAAGGCAAAGACGCTCTTCGACAATTTGACGCCAATTTTGAAGGCGGGGTGCTGATTTGTTGGTCAATTCACAGTAGAACAAAAACATGAGGCAGAAATCTTGAGAAAATCTGGGGATAGGGCACTTTTGAGATTCACTGACGTGGAATCCTTGTTTCTACTGGTTGATCAGAACCGAAGATACCGCAGAAGGTCAAAATGGTCAAATTCCTCGGGAAATTATGGGATTCAAGGTGCACCCCTGACCCCTTGCTGCCTGCGATAGTGGATGAAAGGACAATGTGAAGGAAAACCTGAGGATTTTTTTTTGGTTGAAACATGTTGAAACAATAAATGGAGACTCTTCAAAATCAACCCATTGAATAGTTGGGGAGTTCGGGCTGATCGAAATCTGGGTCGGAAAAATCCGAGTCCTTTGCACCATGCCTCTTCGACATCGATCTCTTTTGCGGTCGTACATTGGTCGGGCACCTCAGGGGTGTGGTCATGGTTTATGGAAGCATCAAAGATGGTGAGTTCAGTAAAATCGTACTGACGTTTAGTGGTGATTTGAGCATTTTCTCATGTTTTCCTATCATTGGTTACTATAATTATCTTGCTGACTGTTATGTGAGTTCGTGTTTATTGTTGTCCCCCACATCACTGTGCGGGGTTCTTGTTTTTTGAACTCCATCCACTCCACCGCCTCCTCCTTTGGCCGCCCGCGCTTCCGCCACAATCAACCACCATGAACTTTGAACTATCCAACTTAGCTCTTTCAACCCCCCTTCAACTTATTCCCATCACATTTATCTCTGTCAAATTTATTTAACTTTCCTGAATCAAACTTACCTTTATCAACTTATCTGTCTCAATCTTACCTTTACCAATTTTATCTATAGCATATGAAGTTTACCTTCATCAAGCTTACCTCCACCAAGATTGCCTCTGTAAGACTTATTGTTTCGTTTTGCATGGCCGGTGCAACACTTTGTGCGTCTTGAATGCGTGCTGTGTGGCAGGCAAGGCACTTGGTGCGTCATATCTCCATCAAACTCATCTCCAGCAGACTTACCGCAATCCACTGACCTCTGTCAAACCTACCTCCATCCACTTCTGACAAACCCACCTCTCTCAAACTCACATTGTTCACACTTCCTTTCATCAACCTTATCTCTATCAAACTTACTTCTTTCAACATTGCTGCAAACTTTTTTTTTGAAAAAAAATCAAGCTTAACTCTATCCACACGATCCCCGTCCAATTATTAAACTAACGGCTGTCCAACTCGCGTGTCACCTCTTTTCTGTCATATATTTATGTGTTGTCTTCTACTGTATGATTTGATACCACCAATATATGTATCCAACCCTTATTAAACAATCCCTCTTTCTTCTTTTCTTCATTACAGGAAGGCTGAACATCTGGGGTTATCCGATCCTTTACTTTCGCACGGCACTCCAGTCATTTTACATGAGTTTCGGTGGGAATTTGACCTGGAACCCCACTTGACACGGGATAGCCATGAATGGCCGCATAGATAGTAACATTGTCTTGAGATGCTCCTAGCTGGCAATGGACATTCCCGATTTCCTGGTACAAATCTTCTACTTTCATGGCCCATCTACAAAAGCCACGCGCAGATTGTTGGAGACGCCGGTTCCGGCAAATCTGTGTTGACCAAGCAGATCTTTGCAGCGCTGGCTCAGAACCAGGTGGAAGTGTTGGGAAGTGTTGGGTTTTGTTGGGCGAGCCGGTGGACCAAGCCCCACTAATCATGGGACATATAATACATAGATTATGTGTATACACATACATTATATATATATACACACATGCCACGAGCAGCAGATGGATGCACAGCAAAGATATTTTGGTTGAGGCTAAAACAGATGGAATATTTCAGAATTTCCGGACGTTGTGCGCAACTTCAAACTCTCAGTGTTTGGACGGCCTCTTTGGACAACCGGGTCGGAAGACCAAGGAAAACTCTACCATTGGTATTTAATGGTTATGGTATCAGCCTTTCACAGAACCGCAATGTTTGGATCTTACATGATCTTATTCTCCGGAGTAGACGTCCAAACTACAATTATCATATTGCATGCAGACCCTGTTGCTTTAGCCAATACAGTGCCTGTTACAGATGGCAATGGCTGAAAACCACGAACTTTCCAAAATTGATGATTTGATGCAAAACTTGGGTAGTTTAAGTTCCAGGACTTCTGCCTTGGGAAATCGGACCGAAGGTTGTCCATGGGGACCGATCAATGTTGATCTTCTATGGCGTGTAAGATGGTCTAGGCCCCCAGGAAGTATCTGGTTTCAAAAGTGCAAGTGCCCAAGTACATAGCATATACATCAGTTGCACTCAAACCCTACTTTTTCCCAATCCAGCTTTTAGACATTCTCACTAAGCTGTTTTATTGGCAGCTGTCTTTTTTTTAGCTTCAAAAGTCACACAGTGACGGACCCTGCCATAGCTGAGCAGAAAAACATAGAGGTGCGAATCGTTGTGGCAAAGACAGGTGGATCGTGGACATAAACTGGGCGAAACCCTTGCAGGTTATGAGCCCAACGCTCTGAAGAAGATCGACATTGAAAAAGAGCTTTTCGACTACAATGTTCACCAGAAGAAGAGCCTTAGAAGCCGAACTTCGACAAGGCGAAGACGAAATAAAGAGGGCGCAATTTTGCTGAGAATCTGAGCTTGCAAGTGGAGCTGAGCAGGTCTTCAGACCAGCCTGCAAGGTCATCAAACCGTTCCAAGTCGGAACCTAAAACACCAAGGAAAACTGAGGAAATATCATCAAAGCGCTCTGAGGGAAATCCGCCAATGCAAGCTCCTCAGATTGCTGCCGAATCTCTGAAATCGCGGGTGCCTGCTGTGACTGATGTTCCAGCCGTGAAGTCGGAATCGAATGTGCAGGGTGTTTCAAATGGACCTCAGAGTGCAGGAAACGTTTCTGAACGAGCGCAACGAGTTGTTCCATCTAGCACTGCATCTATGTCTCAGGCCGTGATTCCACCAAGCCAACCTCTGTTTGATGAGCAGCAGTTGAGACAGTTCCAGGAGACGTTCAATCAAGCTCCTTGGCTGTATCCTGGTGCACAACAATTGATGATACCTCAGCTAGCCATGCCCCCTCCAATTGCCAGACCACTCTTCTTGGAACAAGATGAACGTAGGGTTCAAGGGTCTTTACAAGTTGGAGAGGCACCACAATTCGTGTATCCCTATGCCCAAAATCCTGGACCTCAAGAGAACTTGGGATTGAAAAGGGATTTAGAAATGCTGATGGAAGAAAACAAGAAACTTCGAGAATGTGTTTTAGCTTGGAAAAGTCAGAAGGAAGAAGAACCGCGGTTTCCACACCTAATGGTGAACAAAAGGAGGCTGAGACCACCACAAGAAAGGCCGCTAGACCCCCAAAGTATGAAGCTCAAAAGTCCGAAAGATTCCGCTTCAAAGGAGCCCCAAAGACTGAAGCAGAGGAGACCCGAAATTTCCGAAGTAAGGAGGCTGAGACCACCAAAGAGGCCGCCGGCCCCCAAAAGTCTACTTGGAAATCATATGCATAAGCACTGCACCGTGACGCTCGGCCCGACCAAGCTGCCAGTGAGCGTCTGTTGGGATCACATAGCTTTGAATGGCGTGTTGCTGCAAAAACTGAGCAAACATGTCACTATTGGCTTCGGTCGTGGTCAAACATCATGCTTTTGGGGGCCCATCAGAGCCAGGAGTTGGAAAATGCTTCAATGAGCCCTTCAGTAGTGCGGGTGCTTTCAGTTTGCCAGGTCTGGCAAGCTTGGGTTGCTGTTGCTCGTAGCAAGTTGGGCACACGAAATCAGCACAACCGCGGATGTCTTGTTCAGACCATCCATTCCTGCGAAGAGCCACTTGTAAGATCCTCATATCTGGGTGTCCGAGGTTCTGGTGTATTTTGCGAATCTGATTTGAGTGTGAATTGGGAAGTTGTTTGAACAGTGTACCATGAGATATACTTTGGGAAGTAGATGGTTCAGGAGGACAGGCATTCTCTCTCGGCACAGTGTCTGGGGAGCCTGGTTGTTCAGTTTCGGCAGTAGCTTAAGTTCTATGTGGCTCAGCCAAGGAACTTGGTTCCAAACGAGACTCCTTGGCCGGATGAGATTGCGCGGTCCTTTTATTGGACGCAAACACTGTCACCATCAACTTGCCTTGAGTGGACGCACGGATCTGTTGTCGATGCGACAATTTTTCCCACTCCTCCCAGCCATCGTCCGAGAACACTTCCAAGTCAGAACGGCGTTTGCCAAAGACAACTTTGCCTTCTCGGGGTGCACATGTTTCGGCCATGTGGAGGACTACCCGGACTTGAGACAACATGTCTGACCTGTCGGATGTGTTCATGGGAACATGGGGCGGACTCTGGTGAGTGCTTGCGTCGGATGAGCCGGCTCGGTCTATATACAAATGTTCCGGATGAAACTTCCCTGCGACGCTTGGGCTCTGGGTCTTCTCTTGCAAGGCTGGTGGTGACGGTCAGAGCCTGATTGATTCCGAAAACCCTTTCATGAACTTGACAACTACACAACGTGGCACGGCAGAATAGTTTACCAAACAATGCAGTGTACAGCTCTGTATACTTGGTGACAGACGCCCTACCCCAGCCAGGTATGTTGCAAGACCCTGCAATCTGATCATGGGAGTGGTTGCCAACACATTGAAATTGTTGTAACATCCTCCACAGGATCTGTGAAGTGGTCCAGATCTGGGTGCGTTTCCGGAGCCACTGCTGACTTTCTGGATGCTTCAGGTTTCCAGCTGTGCACATGTCACATACAACCTTGGGTATGGCGAACAATGTTGTCCATGTCATGTTGATAAACCTGTTTTGATCCCTGTGGTTGTTTGAAGACGGAACAACGCGTCACAGAGCTTGAGATGGACGCTTTCAGCACGCCTGTCATGATCTATCTGCTGGGCACATTTGATGGACTTCATGGCGTTGAGCCTGTTCAAATTGCTCCATGGACCGCATTACGGGGAAATCCATATATATGTTGAGGTCTGATTTGCCAGACTCATACAATCGACATCGGCCAGAGAACGTGGCCAAATCACCATGCTTGAGTCCAAAATGCTTGAGTCCAAAATGGAACGTGATCATGCCGAGTGCTTCACCCTGCCGAGTCAACTGGCTTTGTTCAGAGCAGTAGACTTCAAGGACATGAGATCTTGACTGCTTCCAGTGGCGTTTCATGTCATCCATGGTGTATTGAGGAAACTTTTTGTGAAAATATGTCCACATCTCTTGGTAAGCCCAGTTGAAAGATCCAGCCTCTTGGTGAACCAAATCAGAAAAATAGCCAGCATCGATGATCTCGTCTGGAATGGTGTGAAGACAGTGCTTACCATGATCATCGCGCATGAGAGATCTCAACCCATGTCCTATGTCAGCATGCATCACAGCTTTTGGGATTGCCCTGAGTCAGCATGGCCTGTCAGTGTCAGAGCTTGGAGTTGGTGAGTGATCTGCTGGAGCGCAATCTCCATGTTCTCGATCCGGCCGTTCTGGTGGTGCATCTCTTCTTTGATCATCAGGGAGGTCTCTTCTTGGACCACATTCCAATGCTTGGACTCCTCCTCTTCCGACCAACTCTCCTGGCTGAGATCGTCCGGCATGTCTGGGGGCCGAGCTTTGGCCTTGGCTTTCAACTCGTGTCGGCCGGGCTGAGCCAGGGGATCGGCTTCTAACTGAAGCTCTTGACGCTCCACATAGAGATTGATGTAGTGGAGGAAGGCGTGATGAGCATGTTTCTGGGACGTCTCGTACTTCTTGACGAACCACGCCGTGTACTTGGGGTCCTGAAATCTTTGTCCCAACTTCGCTTCGCCAAACGAGATCCGTTGCTTGGCCAGTTGCTTGTAGGACATCTTCATGAACTCCACTGTGTTCTTTTGGGTGGTCACCGCCTGGAATCGCTCGGCAAGGGTTGACTGGGCCATGTTCGTCAGTGTCGACGGTCGCGCTTGGGTCAGGCGTGGGGATACACAACTTGGTCTCACAAACCTGCATGGTATCATGTGATGGCTGTTGCATGCTGTTGTCGGCAACGGGTGAATTGATTGAGCACGCGATCTCCCCTTTTGAATGTCAACCTGAGACCTGATTGCCTGGTTCATGAAGACAAGTCGGACGAGCTCACAGAAATCTAGCAGATACAGCTTCTTGGCGGTGAGCGATAAAAGCATTTTGAGATCTTGGCAAAAGTGACCGCGTCGTTGGCTGTGTCAATCTGAGCCCCCAAAGTGCGAAAGACATTATTGGATATCAAAAATGGAGTCTTGGACTGGACAATGCGCACTTTGACATTCCATCGGGACAATGGCACCAGTAGGGCTTCATGACACTCAACCGTGTTACCGTTTCCAAAACGGAAAATCGTATTGCATGGGACCCTTTGGACCTTCTGTGCTGCACTTCATGCGGCAAATGCTCAAGCAATTCAGACACTTGTTGACTGCCTATGACTGTTTGGCTGGCACCAAAGTCAACAATGCCAAATGGCCCATGACTCACAAACATCGTCTCATCAGGGGGTCACTGTTGGACCTCAATCAGTGATAGACCCGTATGAGTCTCGGATGCATTGGATCGCGATTGGGTCCCGGATGAAGGCATTTCAGGTGCAATCTTCAGCTGAGGGCTTAGGCGGTTCTTCAAGGCTGTCGCAAACCTGGTGAGGGGAGGACCCGGAAGACTGGGACATGCCGTGTCATTACTGGTATCTTCCATCCCAAAACACAAAACAACAAACCGACTGACTTAAACCCAAAACTTCATGCATGTGAGATGCTTCATCATCATGGTGATTCACGAGGTTCATGTCGTTGTCAAAACTGGTGTCTTCAACCATCATTACTGTTCCAGCAAAAGCAGAATCCTTTGAACCTGTGGCACCTGTCTGACCTTGGATTTCCCCTTGCCCTTGGACCCTGCATTGGAACCCTTGGCGGCCTGCCAGAAACCACGGTTTTTGTTGCGGTCTGACAACCGTTTTCGGGCATCTACATAGGTGTTGTAGCAGGCTGCCAGTTCCATATCCCCTTGAAGAGCTTCGAGGATACTGTCTTCTTCAGACTGCATACATAGCACTGCATCGGGGTCAGTGTCATCATAGAGGGTTTTCCCATCATCCCATGAATCGCCTACATATGCATGTTCCTCCTCAGTGACAAATGCTGGTTGATCATCTTCCAAGACTGCATTGACGACATACGTCTTGGATCTGGAAACATTCTTGGAGTCCGACTGAATCTCATTTAAAAAGCGAGATCCCAACAACTTCAGTGACGAGACAATAGCATCATATTCTAATGCCTCTTTGGAATCCACAGTTTCTTTTTGTCATCAGTATTCAATCCAGAGTTTCGCAATAGGATATAGGCTCTGACCTCAGGGAATCCCACACCCATCTGTAACAACTCCTCAAACTAGAAATCATGCCGTGCTAGATAACTTTCATGTGTTTCATCCGTCCTCTGTGTTGTGGAAAAGATCGCCCTCTCAAATCGCTCAAACTTTTCCTCCAGCTTGCTCTTTCCCCAAATCCCTCCGAGGGAGGTCACCAGGAGCTTCACGCCCTCGATGGAATCCACCTTGAGCTTCGTTGCGTCGATCCGCATGACCTTCTTGAACGAACTACCTTCGCACAACATTGCTGCACGGGGAGCCAACAAGGCTAAATGCTCCTGTGGCCATAGTCCAGCAAGGAATTCGATCTTTTTGGGGTACTCGTTGATATCCGTCTCACCTGGTTTGAAAGCTGGTATCATGTTCCAGGGCAAATGCGAAAGGGCTGTCTGACCTGTGCCAGCTGAGCTAGTTGCAAAAGTCGGGACAGTCCCAGCTGGATCCTCAGCGCCCCTTGACATCCTGGATCGCGGCAGCTCCGCTACCAGTGTAGAACTGGTAGGGGCCCCTTGGCTTTACCCAATCCTCCTCCAATCAAAGCTTCACCAAGGCCCTCCCGAGCCGCAAAGAAAGGCGCCACGCCTTTTATGGCTGCAACCACGAACCGTTGTGACCTACTGGGGCTACGCAAGCCCTCGCTGTTGCACCTGAGCCACATTCTCGTGGCACGTATGGTTCATACCTAATTGGATGGGAACCTGGCAGACAACGCATTGTACTGGACATCCAATGCCATCACATGCAAGTGGCTCAAGAGTGTACAAATCACATATATATATATATACATATATATATGTATATATATATATATGTATATATATATGTATATATATATGTGTATATATATATATATTTTGCATTTATATTCATAGATGTATATGATCTCACGACCATGTTTTGCCCGTCCCGGGTGCATTGCTTTTTCGCGTGTTCGGTGTATTTTTTGCGGGCGGCGATTGATCTGTGCCAGGTCAGGGCCGTCCAGGCACTTGCAGATCTTCCCAAGGTCAAGGACTTTCCGATGTCATGAGAGATCTACACTAATAAATGTTAATATAAATGTTTTACAAATGTCATAGATAAACTGTTATATATCTTATGTAAAAACCTTTTAAATAGTCATAAAATGTCATAGATGATAGCTATATCATAGTATATATTTGGCATCTATGACATATATAGCTATATGTCATATATGTTTGTCTACACTTAAATATTAATTATCATGAGAGATCATAATACATGGAGATGTCTGCATATCCAATGCAGTATCATGATCTATTATCATTAATGTATAGTATGCTATATGTTATGACATATCCATATATCGTTCATTTTTGTTTGCGAATTCCAGCATGAGAGGATTTTGTTCTGCACCCATATCGCCCTTGGGTCGGTTCGAAGAATTGCGTTGGCACACGAGTTTTATCAAGATGATTTCAGGGTGGTTATTCGTATCAATCTCTGCTGATTGGAATTGTTTTCATTGTATCTTTGCGCAAAACACAGCTCCGTGGCATGTTTCAAGTAGAACAACAGCAGAGTAGGAGATTCGGAGTCATATGAACGGCATTTCTTCAGATCCGGCCAGATGTGTTGTGACACGAACACGAGCGGATAATATTGGTAGACGAACCACCCCAGAAAGCGATGAGCAACATACTCTTATTTGAGGGTAACATGATCATGGCACAACCTCGTTTCCAATTGGAAAACCAGCAGTTAGATTGATAGTCTATTGACAATTTTCCAATATTCTGATTGCCTACATTGGTTACATCCCCATGTCCAAATGCTTTGCAGGATGAAGAAGGGAGAGTGGTGCCACCGAAATTGGATGTGGCATTTCTACCTGTCCGCGTCCCCTTAGTTGATTGGAGTCGGCAACTCGAAAAAAACCCAGACAATTTGGATGTGCTGGAAGCCGATGTGGTGTCGGATCTTCTGTCCTGCTGGTTGGCTCAAAAATATGGTGAGGCCATGGGGATGGGGATCCATGTGGAGGTGGCTTGTTTCAACTGCCGCAACGCTTCTGAACGATGTTGCCCAAAGAGATGACTAGAGTGACTAGAGATGGCTAGAGATGGCTAGAGATGCTGGTTTTTGCTTCTCAATGCTTTCTAAAGAAACTATTTTGTGTCCACCGAAACTCGAGCCAACGCTCTTTCAATCCTGGACGCACGGTGTCGCAGTGTTTTTTCCTTCTCCCGACTTGTCTCCCTTCTCTCAGAATTCGACCCTCATATGACTCATATCCACTCATTACACTGATTATGATTCAGGACAGCAATCAGGAACATTATCAAACTGACAGGTTGAACAGAGCTGGGTTGTTTCCACTGTGCGAGAGCTGTTTACATGGAGACCTACAGAATCCTACATTGATACATATAATTCTGATTCTACATAATATACATAATACACATTTGATACATAATATACTGCAGGAAAACATTTGATGTATCATCTGCATTCTGGATATTCCAGATGTTTTCTTCCAGATGTTTTCCTGTAGTTCCATCGACGACCATGGAAATATCTGGGGCATACCTTTGGGCCGGACTGGCCACTGGCGTGACCCCCAAACATGTAAGTCTGAAAAAACATCAAAAACAGGTAACTTCTGCAGGAAGTGATTTTTGCTTCACAGGTACGCAGGCAAAAGCAATTATGGTATATTTTTGCACATCAAGAATTTAAATGACTGAATGACTGAATGACTGAATGAATGAATGAAATGAAATGAAAGAAAGAATGAATGAAATGAATGAATGAATGACTGAATGAATGAATGAATGAAATGAATGAATGAATGAATGAATGAATGGAATGAATGAATGAATGAATGAAATGAATGAATGAATGAATGAATGGAATGAATGAATGAATGAATGAATGAAATGAATGAATGAAACGAAACGAAACGAAACGAAATAAAATGAAATGAATGAAATGAAATGAAATGAAATGAATGAATGAATGAATGACTGACTGAATGAATGAATGAATGAAAAGAAACGAAACGAAACGAAATGAAATGAAATGAAATGAAATAATGAATGAAATGAAATGAAATGAAACGAAACGAAATGAAATAATGAATGAATGAATGACTGAATGAATGAATGAATGAATGAATGAAATGAAATGAAATGAAAGAATGAATGAATGAATGAATGAAATGAATGAATGAATGAATGAATGAATGAAATGAATGAATGAATGAATGAAATGAATGAATGAAATGAATGAATGAATGAATGAATGGAATGAATGAATGAATGAATGAAATGAATGAATGAATGAATGAAATGCAATGAAATGAATGAAATGAAACGAAATGAAATGAAATGAAATGAAATGAAAGAATGAATGAATGAATGAATGAATGAAATGAATGAATGAAACGAAACGAAACGAAATAAAATGAAATGAATGAAATGAAATGAAATGAAATGAAATTAAATAATGAATGAATGAATGAATGAATGAATGAATGAAATGAAATAAAATGAAATGAAACGAAATGAAATGAAATGAATGAATGAATGAATGAATGGAATGAATGCATGGAATGAATGAATGGAATGAATGAATGAATGAATGAATGATTGAATGAATGAAATGAATGAATGAATGAACGAATGAAATGAATGAAATGAATGAAATGAATGAAATGAATGAATGAATGAAATGAAATGAAATGAAATGAAATGAAATGAATGAATGAATGAAATGAATGAATGAATGAAAACGAGGGAACAAACAAATCCATCTCATTTATGGACACGTCTTTTTTTCCTCCATAAAAGCCGAGGGCTTTTTCAACCCACATTTTTGACCGGGTCCACGAACGCGCGGCGAAGCGCCAGGATTCCAATCTGATGATGCTGGTCCAGGATATTCGAAACATCTCGCTGGCCGATGAAGAGTCTGATGCCTCCATGGGTCTGGTTCTGCTGCTGGATGGCTTAGACGAAGCTTCTTCAAGGCCAGCGTTGGTTCACTGCGCCTGACCTTTTTAAGAAGCAAATTGGCCCATTTGCTTTTCCATGTTTTTCCAAAAAAAACAAAAAGAAACAAATAACATCCCAAAATTAACGGATAGCAGTTGTAGTTGCCGTTTGTTTTTTCTTTTCTGGAAGTGTCCCAAACCACCGCAGATGGGCAACCCAGGTTTGGCAGATAGCAGTTGCAGTTGCGTTTTGTTTGTTTGAAGCCAGTTGGCCCATTTCCTTGTCCCAACCAACTCAAAAAGCAGATGGCAATTTCAAATAAGGAAATAGCAGTTGTAGTTGCCTTTTGTTTGTTTAAAGCAAGTTGGCCCATTTGCGTTTCCCAAACCACCAACAAAAGCAGATAGCGACCCAAAATTAGCAGACAACAGCTGTAGTTGCCTTTTGTTTGTTTAGCACGTTGGCCCATTTGCTTTTCCCCAGCCACCAAGAAAGCAGATGGCAACTCCAGATAAGCAGATGACAGTTGTAGGTGCTTTTTTGTTTTGTTGAACAAACTTTGACTCAGAAACTTACTGCGAATCAGCAACAAAGAGTCAGAAACAAAAACTCGCGAATCCGAAACCAAAAAAAAACGTGAATCAGAAAACATCCCATGAGGCCAATGGCAAAAACAAAACTTTTGACAATAAGCAGCTTGGGATGTTCTGCAAAACAGATAAAGAGCGAGTGCTGCTTGAATACTTTTGAAACAAGATGATATTGGGGTTTGCGTATGTCCTAAGATATCATGACACATCCATGCAGGTTCATCCATTATATTACCGAATATTACCTTCAACTTATTTTCATAAGGAATCAGATCTGCCACCCCCTCTGAACAACATATTCAATGGGATGATATTCCCTTTAACTTATCGTCATGATCAAATCCGCCACCCCCTCTGATGTGACGCTTGGAACTGCCCGCTTGGTGTAAAGCCCCTCCATGCAATTCCTTCCACAGACGCCGCCGGAGAAGTGCTTCAGACCGGTTGAAACGGGTTTCCAAAGCACAGTGCTTGGTTTCTGATCCACGTTTCCGATTGAGTTGTGGTTGCCAATTCAGGGGTTTTTGTTTCTGATTGAGGGCTCTTAGTTTCCCATTAACTGGGTTCAGTTTCTGCTTCCTGTGGTTTCTGATTCTTTGATTTTAGTTTCCGATTCACGAGTTTTGGTTTCCAATCAACGGGTTTTAGCTTCCGATTAACGGGATTTAGTTTCGGATTAATGGCTGGACCTTTGTTTGTTTAGCAGATTGGCCCATTTGATTTTCCCAAAGCACCAAAAAAGCAGATGGCAACCCAAAATTAGCAGCTGCAGTTGTAGTAGTTGCCTGTTGTTTTTACTTTTTTAGAAGCATGTTGGTCCATTTGCTTTTCCCAAATACCACAGAAAGAAAGTGACACACTACAATTAGCAGATGGCAGTCGTAGTTGCCTTTTGTTCCCCACATTGATGTGTGGGGTTTTTGTTTTTAGTTCTGTATCCGCCGCCGCCGCCTCCTCCTCGCCCGCCCGTCCTCCCCTCACTCACTCACTCACTCACTCACTCACTCACTCACTCACTCACTCACTCACTCACTCACTCCACTCACTCACTCCACTCACTCCACTCACTCACTCCACTCACTCACTCCACTCACTCACTCCACTCACTCACTCCACTCACTCACTCCACTCACTCACTCCACTCACTCACTCCACTCACTCACTCACTCCACTCACTCACTCACTCCACTCACATCACTCCTCACTCACTCACTCACTTCACTCCACTCACTCACTCACTCATCCTCACTCACTTCACTCACTCACTCACTCACTCACTCACTCACGGTCAACTCACCACATCACTCACTCACTCACTCACTCCCTCACTCACTCACTCCTGCACTCCAGACTCCCCCATCACTCACTCACCAGCATCACAAATCACTCACTCACGTCAACTCTCTCACGATCACTCCGGTCACTCACTCACCTCACTCACTCACACCCTCACTCACTCACTCACTCACTCACTCACTCACTCACTCACTCCAAAAAAACTCACTCCTCACTCACTCACTCCACTCACTCACTACTCACTCACCTCACTCAACATCACGCCCTCACTCACATCACTTTGCACACACCACGACACTCAAAACCCTCACTCCCCAATCCCTCACTCACTCTCACTCACTCCATTCACTCCACTCACTCCACTCACTCCACTCACTCCACTCACTCCACTCACTCCACTCACTCCACTCACTCTCACTCACTCTCACTCACTCTCACTCACTCTCACTCACTCTCACTCACTCTCACTCACTCTCACTCACTCTCACTCACTCTCACTCACTCTCACTCCCTCTCACTCACTCTCACTCCCTCTCACTCCCTCTCACTCCCTCTCACTCCCTCTCACTCCCTCTCACTCCCTCTCACTCCCTCTCACTCTCAACAGGTCACGCACTCACAAACACACACACAACCTCACCTCATCACTCACCTCACTCACTCACTCACTCACCTCACTCACTCACTCCACTCACTCCCTCACTCACTCACTCACTCACTCACTCACTCACTCACTCACTCACTCACTCACTCACTCACTCACTCACTCACTCACTCACTCACTCACGCACACATGCACACACGCACTCACTCTCACGCACTCACTCACTCACTCACTCACTCACTCACTCACTCACTCACTCACTCACTCACTCACTCACTCACTCACTCACTCACTCACTCACTCACTTCACTCACTCACTTCACTCACTCACTTCACTCACTTCACTCACTTCACTCACTTCACTCACTTCACTCACTTCACTCACTCACTTCACTCACTTCACTCACTCCACTCACCTCACTCACTCACTCACCTCACTCACTCACCTCACTCACTCACCTCACTCACTCACCTCACTCACTCACTCACTCACTCACTCACTCACTCACTCACTCACTCACTCACGCACTCACTCACTCACTCACTCACTCACTCACTCACTCACTCACTCACTCACTCACTCACTCACTCACACTCTCACTCCCACTCTCACTCCCACTCCCACTCCCACTCCCACTCCCACTCCCACTCCTCACTCACTCACTCACTCACTCACTCACTCACTCACTCACTCACTCACTCACTCACTCACTCACTCAATCACTCACTCACTCTCTCACTCACTCACTCACTCACTCACTCTCTCACTCTCTCACTCTCTCACTCTCTCACTCTCTCACTCTCTCACTCTCTCACTCTCTCACTCTCTCACTCTCTCACTCTCTCACTCTCTCGCTCTCTCACTCTCTCACTCTCTCACTCTCTCACTCTCTCACTCTCTCACTCTCTCACTCTCACACTCTCTCACTCTCTCACTCACTCACACACACTCACACTCACTCACTCACACTCACTCACTCAACTCACTCACACTCACTCACTCAACTCACTCACACTCACTCAACTCACTCACACTCACTCACTCAACTCACTCACACTCACTCACTCAACTCACTCACACTCACTCACTCACACTCACTCACGCAGGCGCGGCACTTGGTGCTCTGCAAGGGGTCGGATGTACGTCCTGGCGTCCCTTGGTCTCCGCTGCTCTGCCCGGTGGCTTTTGCGTGGCAGGCGCAGCCCTTGGTGCTCTGCAAGGGGTCGGATGTATGCCCTGGTGTCCCTTGGTCTCCGGTGCTTTGCCGGTGGCTTTTGCGTGGCAGGCGCAGCACTTGGTGCTCTGCAAGGGGTCGGATGTACGCCCTGGCGTCCCTTGGTCTCCGCTGCTCTGCCGGTGGCTTTTGCGTGGCAGGCGCAGCACTTGGTGCTCTGCAAGGGGTCGGATGTACGCTCTGGCGTCCCTTGGTCTCCGCTGCTCTGCCGGTGGCTTTTGTGTGGCAGGCGCGGCACTTGGTGCTCTGCAAGGGGTCCGATGTACGCCCTGGCGTCCCTTGGTCTCCGCTGCTCTGCCGGTGACTTTTGCGTGGCAGGCGCAGCACTTGTTGCTCCGCAAGGGGTCGGATGTACGCCCTGGCGTCCCTTGGTCTCTGGTGCTCTGCCGCTGGCTTTTGCGTGGCAGGCGCAGCACTTGGTGCTCTGCAAGGGGTCCGATGTACGCCCTGGCGTCCCTTGGTCTTCGCTGGCTTTTGCGTGGCAGGCGCGGCACTTGGTGCTCTGCAAGGGGTCGGATGTACGCCTTGGCGTCCCTTGGTCTCCGCTGCTCTGCCGGTGGCTTTTGCGTGGCAGGCGCAGCACTTGGTGCTCTGCAAGGGGTCGGATGTACGCCCTGGCGTCCCTTGGTCTCTGGTGCTCTGCCGCTGGCTTTTGCGTGGCAGGCGCAGCACTTGGTGCTCTGCAAGGGGTCGGATGTACGCCCTGGCGTCCCTTGGTCTCCGCTGCTCTGCCGGTGACTTTTGCGTGGCAGGGTCGG